GGCGGCACGGCCGTTGCAGAGAGTTCTGGAACGCTCTAGAGAGGTGTGTCCCGTTCCTGCCCTGAGACCCGACGTTGCGATACATACATACATACATACATATATACATACATACATACATACATACATACATACATACATATATACATACATACATACATACATACATACATACATACATACATACATACATACATGCATGCATGCATGCATGCATGCATGCATGCATACATACATACATACACAAGTACATACATGCATGCATACATACAGACAGACATACAGTCAGGCAGGCAGGCAGACAGACAGAGAGACATCCATACATGCATAGCTACTTGCAAACATACAGACATACGTCCGTACATGCCTACAGACATGCATACATGCATACATACATACGTACGTACATGCAAACATGCATGACTGCATCAATCCACACATACATACACACATACATACGTACATACATACATGCATACCTTCATACATACATACATGCATTCATTATAACATGCATATACCTAACGCATACACGCAACTACACATGCACATACACATACATTCATATACACATATTAATACATACACATGCATACTTACATACTACATACACACATACGTACATCTATGCACACATGCACATCAACATACATACATACATATATCCATACATAAAGACATATACGCGCCAATCCGTGCATTCACTCATACACGCACATACATCGATCCATTCATACACATACATACATACATGCAGAACTACATGCATACTCATGCATACATGCACACATACAACTATACAATACATACAGCCACACATACACACGTACACACATACACACATCATACATACATACATACACGCATACACACGTACAGACATACATACATATAGCCAGACAGACAGACAGACAGACAGACAGACAGACAGACAGACATATATCCATACACAGGCGAGCAGACATCCAGACATACATACTAACTTACTTCCACGCATACACATCTACTACACTCAAGTCCATTACATTCCAGTATGCTACACCACATACGTACATTAATGCTTATATACATCCATACGTACATATACACACATGCATGCATGAATGCATGCGTACATACATAGATGCATGCATACATCCATACGTCCATACATTCATACATCCATACTGCCTAGCACCTAGCGGCCTACCTGCCTACTTACATACATGCATGCATGCAGACAGACAGGCAGGCAACACACATAACTACTATATACTACATAACAAACAAGTGTCCGACCGCTGGGCTCCATCTTCCTGCTGCATTTTCCGACCTGGCTCGATCTTTGATGGTCTCGGGGCCCGAACCAGGGCGGAAACGCCCGGCGTGGCAAAATTGCACCGCCCGGGTCTCAGGGTGGGCCTGTCTGACGCACCCCCCTCCCCCAAGGCTGTCGGCACGCTCTCTGGAAAATTCCCTGCCCGGCCCCGTCCTGCCCTCGGCCGGCAGCGGCTCGTCGGGGAAGAGGCCCCCGAAATAGGGCTTGATCTCGGTGCCGTCCGGGGAGAGGTTGATGAACTCCTATAAAGGGGCCCAGAGAAGACACTTATGTTCGAATATTTCCAGAACAAAATCATTACAGTATTTCCTTGGGCATCGACGATTATTTGTGTCTGTGCACTTTTTCTTCCCCTGAACTCCCCCAGGGGCGCGTTCAGAAAAGCAAACTGGAGATGGTCAGAGGAACGAAGAAAGGCATAAGCATAAACTTTCGGACCTCCGCGCGGATTTCCTGCATCTGCGCTGGACACCCCTCCCAAGCGCGCGGAGCGGCGGCCACAGAGGTACCGCCAAGGGGGGTCCCAGCGCAGATCCAAGGACTCCGTGCGGACCTTCGACAGTTTATGTGTATGCAATTGTTCTTCTTCGAGATGGTACGAGTAGATCGACGAGCCATGAGGAACCACCAAGACGTCGCTGGCGGCCGCCTGCGCCATCACGCGGCGGGCCTCTGTGATCCCTCCGAGCCACGTGATGTCTGGCTGGAGAATGTCTGCGGCCTTCTTGTCGATCAGCTGCTTGTAGCCAAATCGGGAATACTCGTGCTCACCAGTCGTTAGCAGGAGCCCCAAATTGCCCACTGCTTTTCTCACCTCTGCGTAGCCGTCGTACTCATCAGGTGGCAAGAACTCTTCCATCCAGGTGAAGTGCAAGTCTTGCTCAGCTAGCCTTCTGGCCAAGGATATGGAATATGTCACATTGAGCGCCATGTCCGCAACCATGCCGCATGGCACGCTGAGGCATGGTATGATGCGAAGCGCTGTCTGGTATGGCTTGCATGTTCTTCTGAAGCGCTCATGTGCATGCACGCCCCCTTTGTGGGCCCCGGAAACGGCAGAGCCGTTTTTTCACCGTTTCCCCAATAATGTCCCTTGAAAGTGGAAACGGCAAAAAAAACGGCTACCGGAAACTGCAAACAAACGGCTCCAGGATTGGAACCAGGGCCCGAACCGGTCAAAAAACGGTGACGGAACAGGTAAAACAACGGCGTCGGAACCGACAAAAAAACGGCAAAACGGAACCGGTAAAAAAACGGCCCTGTCGTTTCCAGGGCCCACTAAGCACGCCCCCCTTTCCCGAGTTCACGATTCCTTATTAAAAAACATCTGTGGATCCGCGCTCCCGAGCTTCGAAGACGGTCCAGGCAGACAGCCGAGGCCGCCAAGATTGCCGACGATGCCCTCAGGACTTCCCAAGATGGCTATAGGAGCGCCCAGGAGGGCCACAGGAAGACTAAACACGGCCCGAAGAAACCACTACCATAGATGTTATACTATCTTTTTAAATGGCTTTCGCATGCTCGTTTTTGCGGGCTTCCGTCAGCTCAAGATGGCACAAAAAACCTCCCTGGTGGCTCCAAAACGGTCCAAGATGCCCACAAGAGGATCCCAAAATAGCACAAGGGGACCCCACCTTGGCCCAACAAGCCTCCAAGACGACAACACGACGCTCCGGAGAGACCAAAGACGGATGTAGAAGGCGCTTCGATGGCCCAAGACGGCTCCAAGACGTCAACGACGGCCCAAGACACCCTCCGTACTGTCAAGAGAGCCCCAAGACGGCCCAAGAGAACCCCAACACGACACAAGAGGGCCCCCAAAAAGTCCCATGGGACCCCGAAGACTGCCCCACAGGTGTAAAGACATCCCCGAAACGGCCCAAGTGAGCTCCATAAGCACTCCCAAAGACAAGACAACGGAAGGTGTCACACGTGACGTCTTTCTCCTCCTCGGCATCATGATCTTCATCATCCTGATCATCCTCATCACGGCTATCCCAAACCTTGCAGCACGAGGTGTCACACGTGACAGCCAACCGTGCCCCTCGAACAGTCGACACCTAGAAAGCTGGACTGGCAAAATGGTGGGATTTGCCTCAGGCAGCCGGATAACAATCCAACATGAGGGGGAACCCATCGCCCACCTGGGCCCTGGCCTGCTTACAAAATTCGACGTTCTTCTTGAATCCTTCCATCCCGTCGGCTGGCCCGTACGGGCAGGGGATCTTGCAGCCTACGAATCCCAGCTTCTTGCCTATATCGGGTCGAGCGGTGGTGGTGTATATTGGGAGTTGTTGTTTGGTAGCTCCACCAAGCAGCATATAAACGGGTTCCTTGCGCAACTTCCCCAGCAAGTCCCAGAGTGCCAGATCCACTGCGGAAAGCGCCTGTATTGGGAGGCCCTTTCGCCCATAGTTCAAAGTAGACCTGAACATCTGATCCCACATGAGCTCGATGTTGCGGGGATCCTGCCCCTCGACGAACCTGCTGAGATGGTGCTCGACGATGTAACACCCTGGTTCGCCGCCGATGGTTATTCCGACTCCAGTGGTCCCATCATCGGCCTCCACCTCGACGACCATACTTCCGATAGCATTAATGCCCCAACTTTTTCTATGTTTCTTGTAAGCTGGATGCACAGACATAGGGTTGGCTATGGGAAGCAACTCTGGAGCCCCGTCACTGGAGCTCCAGAGTGGCAAGTTGCCATTGATCCAGTGCAGGTCTGCCACATCGTGACAATCGGCACCTTGAACGTGTTGCTTGACGTCCGCGGTCTCTTGGACGTAAGCCCGCACCTCCTTCACTTTCGGGAAAGCGCGGCACGCCATCCGCAACCCTCCCTCCGTTCGGACTGGCGGCAATTCCACTCCACAAAATAACCTGTCAAAGCTTGAGATCACCGCGAGACGTTCCCTTCTCTACTCCCGGTTCTGCCTTGCACCGTATAGGCTCACTCCTCTCTCGCCGCGCTCCACAGCGTGCCAAGATGCTCCCGCAAGGGTGTCCGTGGCATCTGTATGATCCTATCTCTTCGCGTTGCTTGTAGCTAGAATTAGGTCGGGCATGTTCCCCCACAGCCGGATTGTAGATGAAACATGAAAATCGTCAGACAGTGATCGGAAACGATCAGAAGTAGTGAAACGATCGTCCCCAGACTGCTGTTTTACGATGTCTGAACAGTCCTCCTACAGGAGGACAGGCCCGACTTGAAGCTGGGAGGATCAAACACACGCTCCCCTTCAGAACCAGAGCGTCGCCTGAACGGCAGGCCCATGGGCCCCTCGTCGTGCCGCGGAGTGCTTCCTGTGGTGATGCAAGGAGTGCCCGTACGGTCTCAGGAGGCGGCGACCTGGGACGGGCAGCATCGTTAACGCACATTGCTTCCAGGTGGCTCCTCTGAACATGCTGGTAACCTTGAAACGCCTTTCGCACCTCCTCATCCTCCTCCTCTTCCTCCTGCTCCTCGTGTTCCTCCTCCTCCTCATCATCCTCCTCTTCCTCCTCCTCCTCCTCCGTTCCTTCCCTCCGTCCCCCCTCGACTTCCTCCCTTCCCACCCTTCTCCTCCCTCCTTTCCCTCTCCTTCATCCGCACTCCTCCTCCTTCTCCTCCTCCTCCTCCTCCTCCTCCATCGTCCCGCCCTCCTCGTCCTCCCCGCGCCCCCTTCCTCAATCCGCTCCTTCCCTCCTGCGGCAAGTTCCCGTCGTAACGACCCCCCAGGCGTTGGTGTCTGACACAGCGTAGATCGTTCAACATTGAACGATTGGCAACGTTTCGACCACTAGATCGTTCCATCTTGGCCAACTCGAGGCGCCAACGGCGCTCAACCTTGAACGCCCGCGGCGGGGTCGCCGCCGCGTCGACACGACGCGAACCTATCGTAAGTACCCTGCCCCCCCCAATCCAACTCGCCCTCACCTCCCAATAATGAGATGTCTTGATGTTTTCGATATGCGGTCCCCAGAAATCCGACCCCTTCCCAGGGCCAGCTTTCCATCCCGGGCAACTGTTCGACGGCCCCGAGGCCCGGCGAGGGCCCCCGGATGCCGAACATGTCCGAAAACCTCCCGTCGCGAGTCTCCTCAAGTTCGCATGCAGTTCCACCCTCATTTCGGCGCCCCCCACACGGTTCGTGGCCCCATAGGGAGCTCCACCGAGGGCCCCAGTGGCAAAGTTCGCATGCAGTTCCATCCCCATTTCGGCGCACCACTTACACGGTTCGTGGCCCCATAGGGAGCTTTACTGAAGGCTTTAATGGTAAAGTTTGTATGCAGTTTTACCCCATTCCGGCGCACCCAGGGGGTCCGATTTCTCATCCTTTCGCCCTCCGCCCTCGCTCCCTTCCCCCTTCCGCTGGTCCAGCGCCCCGAGCGCGGGGCCGTGGCGGCCCGAGGCTCTCGGATGACCGCCGCGCCGTCCACACCGCGCTCCGCGCTCGGCCGCAGTCTGCCCAATCGGGGCGTGCGACACCGATCCCTGGGACCATCGGGGGCGGCCGCCAAAAGGGGAGCGTCCAAGAGGGGGGGCGCAAATCATGGTCAGCGGCATGTGCACGGCCCAGGAGGGGGGGGCCTGGGACGTACTGGAATGAGAAGAGGCGCCGTGAAAGACATCCACCCTCCTCTGGTCGTCACCCCCCTCTTGGCCGCCCCCGGGACCAGGACCCGGGGGAGCAACGCCACACTGACTCCCATCGCCTCGAGCAACTCGGTGCGCTTCTGGTTTGCTGCTGCTGTGTTAGGCCTCGGGGTGCCCTCGCCGGCCCCCCCCGTGACTGTGAACAAAAGCGGCTCAGGAGGAGAGGCCAGCCCCGGCTCCTCCTCCTCCACCTCCTCGTCCTCGGCTTCCGGGGACTGCGCATTGAGGAACTCAAGAGGTCGGATGTCTGGGTAATGCCACCGACAGACCGCCGAGGGTAACTCGTAATTTGAGCAGGGGCCGACCGTCCTGGCATTCATACGACATGATCCTAGAACCCGGAAATGTGCTAAGAACCAAAACCATGTTCTTAGAACGTAAGTCCGATGCAATACAAAAACGGTCTCATCCAGACATGTTCTAAGAACATGTCGTGCAAACCATAAGCAAGTTCTTAGAACATTCGTTGGTGGGCCTATAGGCAAGCCAGGACGCTTCTCCACTACTCGAGTCAGCGTGCTGCCGTTGAGGAAGCACCAGGCGTTCGGACAAAAAAAGCGACGGGGCGGCACGTTGATGGACTTCCCACGGCGGCGTGCCACGGATGCGCCTCGCCCCCTCCGAAGGATGGGCTCGGCCAGGATCGATGAGGATGGGCCCAGTTGACGTCGCAAATCCGCCGACCCTTCGGCGTGTGCGAGAGGCTTTGCCCTCGTCGTCGTCAACGTCGTCGTCGTCGTTGCCGTCGTCACCGCCAGTCCGCAGGAAATTGAGCAACAAGAAGCAAAAAGAAAGTAGTTGAGTCGCTTCCCTTCTCTATAGTGCCCCTCCCGGACGGGGGGTGGGCGCGGGGGGGGGGGAGGGGCGGGTCAGAATACCGCTCCCTGGGGTCCCGGCGGGTCCGGGGGGGGGCGTCCCGGGGGGTAGCAAGCGGGAGTCCTGGGCGTTATGGGAGCCTTATATATGTATATATATATATATATATATATGTGTATATATATACATATATACACATATATATATATATATACACACTCGCAATCCCACCAGCCCTTTGGGCGTGAGTGGTTTAGCGAGCTCTCTCTGTCCTCAACCCCCCTTCTTCCCCTTCGGGGAGGGGTTTACCCCTCCCCCTACCCCCTCCCCCTGGACCTGGACAGGGACTCCGGAGCGTCGTCAGGGGGGTCTTTTTCGATTCCTGGGAGGGCTAAAAAACGACGACCCTCACGAGGATTCTGGCCCCGAGGGGGGGGGGGGAGTTTGGCCCCTCTGCTCTTCTTTGAAGCAAAAAACATTTATTTTACTAGGGTTTTGGCCCCATCTTGGCCTTCTGAGGGGGTCGCGCTCCTCTTCCCTCATAGCAAAATCATTGATTTTACGAAGGTTTTGGGCTCATTTTGTCCTTCTCAGGGGGCAGCGCTCATCTGCGCTTCTGAGGAGGTCGCAAGAGGCCCCAAGATGGCCCCAAGAGGCCCCCAGGAGGCTCCCAAGAGGCCTGCAAGAGGCCCCCAAGAGGCCCCCAAGAGGCGCCAAGAGGCCCCCAAGAGGCCCCCAAGAGGCCCCCAAGAGGCCCCAAGAGGCCCCAAGAGGCCCCCAAAAGGCCCCCAAGAGGCCCCCAAGAGGCCCCCAAGAGGCCCCAAGAGGCTCCAAGAGGCCCCCAAGAGGCCCCACGAGGAGCCCGAACGACTCACACCAGGACGAGGGGCCCGAACGACTCACACCACGAAGAGCCCGAACGACTCACACCACAAGGAGGGGCCCGAACGACTCACACCAGGACGAGGCGCCCGAACGACTCACACCACGAGGAGCCCGAACGACTCACACCACGACGCGGGCCCCGAACGACTCACACCACGAGGAGCCCGAACGAGTCACACCAGGAGGAGGGGCCCGAACGACTCACACCAGGATGAGGGGCCCGAACAACTCACACCACGAGAAGCCCGAACGACTCACACCAGGACGAAGAGCCCGAACGACTCACACCACGAAGAGCCCGAACGACTCACACCAGGAAGAAGGGCCCGAACGACTCACACCAGGACGAGAAACCCCAAACGACTCAAATCACGAGGAGCGCTTTCTCTCCCTCCTCCTCCGCCTCGTCCTTCTCCCGTTCCCCCACAAGGAGGATGTACAAGGAGGCGGGAGGAACGAGGAACAGGGGAGATATGCGGGGCCAAGCGGACACACGCCTGAAAAACACGACTGTCGGCATGCTTCGCAAGAGTTGCTGCTGTGAGATGGGCTGGTGGGGATACGCGAAGCGTAAAGAATTCCGTCTTTAGAATGTACTGGCGTCGATTAGCGTCTGGTCATCGATGAGACAACGATTTAGCGTCGAGCAGGCTGGATCTGGCGTCGCTTCGCAGGAGCTCACGAGCTGGTCATCCCAGGAGGCTCCCACGAGCTGGCCGCAGCACCCTCCCCCAAATCCAGGAGCCCGACCCTCCCGAAGCGACCGGCCCCGCGACGGGCCCTCCCCCCCCGCCCGAGGCCTCCCCTCCCCGACCGCCCCGCCCGGGGGCCCACGGCCGAGGGGGAGAACGACACAGGCCATCGCGCTGCCATGCCGGAGGCCTCCCGGAGGGGGCCCGGGCAGCCGGGGTCCGAGGCTCGCGCAGCGTGGCCGATGCGTCGGCGATGCCTCGGGGATGCATCGGCGATGCACACGCGACGTCGGCGGTGCATCGGAGGCGTCGGCGTGGACCAAACTCGGGCTGCACACAGAGCCGCATCGCCGATGCATCGGCGACGCGACGCGATCCTCCGACCCCATCTGCTGGGACCCCCTTTGGGAGGCCTGGGCATGAGAAGAGCCGATCAAGGAACGAGGGGGCTTTCCTGGCCACGGCCAGCCTCTGTAGCTGCCGTGGCCCACTCCTCGGGAGACCAGGGCAGCGAGTGTTCTACTTGAAGATGGCACTGCCCCACGAGTTGGCACGCGATCAAGCGAGCCTCGGCAACAAACACGTCTCCCGACCGAACCTTGAGGACGGGCCCGGAAACTGGAGCCCGTCCTGAGCCGAAAATGGTCCTCAATTCAACGTCTTGACTGCACCCTGAGATCCGACTTTGGAAACAAGAAGCACCGTGAAAGACCACGACGGGAGCCCGAGACCCCCTCTTTCTGCAGCATGCCTCGAGCCCGATCGATCTGTGATGGTCCCAGGGGCCCGAAACCAGGCGAGAGCGCCCGGCGTGAGATACTTGCAGCGCCCGGATCTCAGGGCAGGGGGGGAGGGTGGGCTCGCCATCGCTGACGTCCATTCCCTGTGTTTTTTTCGGTCTCGTGCGTGGTTTTTTCGCCAGGTGATCAAGGATGCTCCTCGATGGTCCTCGCCGAAGGAAAAAGGCACACGTCCGAGCGATGCCAGGGGGAGACAACTGGCTCGGAAGCGGCCGCACGTCGCTGACGAGGTCGGCGACGGGCCCCCGGCATCGAAACCGCACGCTCCCGAGCGCAGCGGGGCACCCGGGCCCCAATTGGCGACGAGGGGCCGACGTCCCCCCCACGCCCGGAGGTACGCGTTGCATTTCTTCACGGAGGGGGCCCAGGGACACACAAATAAATCCTCCTACTACTACTCCTCCTCGTCCTCCTCCTCCTCCTCCTCCTCCTCCTCCTCCTCCTCCTCCCCCTGTGGTACAGGAGGAAAAGCCCAGACAGACTTGTCTTCAGGGCTACAGGGCTATAGGGCTATATGGGCTACAAGGCTACAGGGCTATAGGGCTATATGGGCTATTGGGCTATAGGGCTATATGACTAAAGGCACTGTTGGGCTATTGGGCTATAGGGCTACATGGCTATAGGGCTACAGCGCTGTTGGGCTATAGGGCTATAGGGCGACGATATAGAGCACCCAGGCACCTCTGGGCACCCCCGGGCACCCCGGCAACCGGGCACCCCCCTGGCACCCGGGCACCCGGGCACCCGGGCCGGCCACCGAAATCAGCAACCCACCTCACCTAACCATATGAATTCGCTAGGACCCCTGCAGAGGCAAGCTCTGAGTGGGGAATAGACACAAATCCCAGGAGTCCCTATTTTTTTTGTTTTTTTGTTGTTTGATATTTTCAGGGTTTCCGTTTTCCCCCCCACTTCCCATATTCTCCCAGATTTACTGGGAGTCGACGATTCATTGTGTCTGTGTGCTTTCCCCTCCACACTGGGCGTTCTCGCTCGGTTTCGGACCCCGGGGCCATCACAAATCGATCGGGCTCGAGACATGCCGCATTGAGTCTCGCGCTCCAGTCGTGGTGTTGATCGATCTTGTCTTTCTGTCGCAATGTCGGACCTCAGGGCCTGTCGGCGTCGATCGTTAGAAGAGAAATCCAGCATACATTTAAACTCTCAGAGATCCACGCACATTGCTTGGCGCTGGACCCCTGTCCCTGGCGCGCGGAGCCCAATGGGGACCAACGCAGATCCAAGAAATCCGCGCAGGCTCCCGAGATTTTATGTTTGTGGCGTGCTTTCCTCTTCGCATGGTGCCTCCTCCAGATCCACCACCCTTGGCGCCCTGAAAAAAAGTTCCAAGGCCTGGTCTCAGAGGCCCCAGGAAGCGAAGTCAGGCCGGTCCAAACGGGGCTGAGGGGCTGCTGAGCCGGATCAGACCTGATCAAGCCAAGAATTGCGCTGGATTTGCACTGGGTTGGACTGCGACCTGACCAGAATCCCAAAAAGAACCGCTCGCAGTGAAGCAAAAGGGTCATGATGGAACCGGGTCGTGGACCCTGGAGCCTGCCTCGGGACCTACCCGTCATCCCGAATCGCTCTTTGACAGACTGTCCTAATTAGCGCCCGTGGAGGGCCCTAGGGGCCCGAAAACAGCGAAAACGCTTTCCAAACCTCTGTCCTCCAAGACCGGCTCATCCATGCTGAATACGCGAAGCTTTTGCTGCTGCTGCTCCTGCTGCTGCTATTGCCAAGGCGAAAAGCAGTCTGCTCCCCCACCGGTGGCGCGCCGGTAAACCGAGAGGAGGTCAGCCTCCCCCCCCCCCGTGGCGCGCTGGCAAACTTTTCTGATGCGAAATCTGCGCCCGAAAGAGCCGACCCAGCTCTCGGTCAAAGCGGACCGAACACTGCGCCCAAAACGCAGGCAGAGCAGGCCGACCCGGCGCGGCACGCGAGGTCTGGCAGTCAAAACGCAGGCAGAGCAGGTCAACGCGGCGCGTCACGCGAGGTCTGGCAGTCACCTGCCCACGCACCCTGGATCCACTTCGGGGGGGGAGGGAGAGAGAGAGAGAGAGAGAGAGATAGAGAGAGAGGGAGGGAGTCGAGAGGGAGAGCACGAGAGAGGGGAAAGTGAAGAACCGATGAGGGGAGAGAGAGTGAGAGAGAGAGAGAGAGTGAGTGAAACAGAACAGAGAGAGAGAGAGAGAGAGAGAAAAACAGAAATAGAGAAATACATATGGAGGGATACATATATTAGAGAAGTGGGGTTCGCGCGTGCCGGGAGCGCGCCGCTTACGGAGGGGTTGCGTCCTTACCGGGGGGGTTCGTGCAGCCTACCAGAGGAGGTCGTGTTTACCGGGGGGGTTCGTGCAGGCTCGCACCGGGAATGGCGCCAGCTCGAACCCCCCCAAGAAAGATTACCAGGCGGGGGTTTCGCTCCGCACCGGGCACCGCCGACATATATACAGAGAGAGAGAGAGAGAGAAAAAAGAGAGAGAGAGAGAGAGAGAGAGAGAGAGAGAAAGAGAGAGATCTTCGATGGGCTCCACTGGCGGCGCGATGGCGGTAAAAGCAGGGCACGAGATGTCGGTGAAGTCTAGACGGGTGGGTTGTTCAAATCGGCCGAGCGCCTGAACCCAAATGGCAACAGACGTCGGGCAAAGAAAAACATACACATTCGTGTTGGCACACGGGGGCGCATCCTCGACGAGTCCTCATAGCGGTGCGATGGCGGTGGACAAAGGAGGAGGAGGAGGAGGAGGAGGAGGAGGAGGAGGAGGAGGAGGAGGAGGAGGAGGAGGAGGAGAGGAGGAGGAGGAGGAGGAGGAGGAGGAGGAGGAGGAGGAGGAGAGGAGGAGGCGGTGATGCCCCTTTTTCGGGCGGGCGCACCCAAGGGCCCGCCCGGCCTCGCCTGGGCACTCACGCGCCGCCCGCGTGCACAGAGGCAGGCTAACTGGGGAGCGGTGCCTGTCCTCCTCCTCCTCCTCCTCCTGCTCCTCCTCCTCCTCCTTCCTCCCTCCTCCCTCCTCCCTTCTTCCTCCTCCCTTCTCCTTCTCCCCTCCTCCCTCCTCACTCCTCCCTCCTCCCTCCCAAGGGCCTGTCCCCAAGCCTGAGGGCCCCCCCCTGCGGGCCCGTCTGGGAGCGACAGAGCGAGAGAGAGAGAGAGAGAGAGAAAGCACGGACGCATGAGACAAAGCCCTCTTGTTTCTGCTAACCGATTTTGGGCGTGGGAGGGGCACCGTGGCCACCACGGGCCGTCTCGTGACCCCCAGGCTGGCTGATCCTCGTCCTCGCCTCCGCCGAGTAGCCGCGCGGCGGCTTGCGGGCGCGTGTGCGGCCCCCTCTGGGGGGCCCACCCGCAAACAAAAAAAGCCTGGGTTCCCCAGGACAGAGGCAGGAGGAGGGAGGCCCGCCGCTCCCCCCAGGAGGCAAAGCGAAGAGAGGGGTGGCGAGAAAGGGTGGGGGAGCGGGGGAGGGGGGGAGGCAAGCTAGGTGCGCTCGCGTCATATCTGACATCCCACCCCTCCCTCCCATCCCTTACCATGGCGCAGATCCCCTCTCTACTCGCTCAGTCGGATGTCGAGCAGGGCAATGATCCCGAAAGGGTACGCGATGCATTGTAGAGCACGGCATGGCATGGCGTAGAAGAGCACCGCAAAGCGTAGTATCAACCTAGCATTGGGGAGGAACGGAGGGCGAGGCAGGGGGGGGAACAAGGCGGAAGCACCAGGAACGTGGCCAGCGCAGCGGTGGCACAAGGGGGCATTTGAGCCACAGGGGCGCGTTCACCATTCCAGCACGTCCGCCACAAGAAACAACAAGGACAAGACAGGGTAAAAGCTTCCGTTCTGGACCCGCCTCGGTCCCGCCTCGGGACAGACGACCCCCCCCCCCCCCCCCCCCCCGCGCCTGAAAGCGGAGGGACCGGGGGGGGAGAGATGACCCAGACCCGCTTCACGCAGGCACAACAACGCACTCGCTCGGCCCCTAGAAGTTCTAGAAGGGGCAGCCCCCTGCCTCCAGGGCTAAGGGGGATAGACAATGTCCATGGTCAGGAGGCCAACGACGGGATCAGATAATTAACGCGAAAGAACTTTCGCCCTCCCCTGGCACGGATAGGAAAGTCGCACCGACTCGAAAGATTGCGATGAGCCCCCTAAGTGCTGCAGCAGGCGAAGGAACGACACGTGCCAGCGACCACTCCGAGCGAGAGCCGAAACCAACGCCCGACATGGCGGCTGAAACGCCGAACCCCGTGCTGTGCTCAAAATGAAGCAACAAAACCGCAACATACAATGCTCAATTCGATGGCGGGCCTCGCGAGCCAGCCTCTGCCGGTCGCGCCGCTACGCTCCCCTAGAGTGCAGGCACGCGTGGTGGCCCTAACGAATGCCCAACCGCCTCCAGCGACTTGTGGTGGGGATGGGCTATGCGAAGCCTCGCCCCCAAACTGCGCCTTCAATGGCTCGGAGACGGCTGACCAGAGATCGAAGCAACAAAAACCACCGCCAGAAACCACCAACCCGTCCCTGCCGACAGAACGCCGAGGGGGCACTCCCACAGGAGCATGGGCCAACCGGACCCTCGTCCATGGCCCGCGACCCCCCCACAAGCAAGTCGAGATAGATAATCCAACGATCCATGGATCGAGCCTTCCCCCAACTCGCAGCAAGACCCAGCGCCACATGGACGGCAAAGCGTTGGGAAGCGTGTGGATGCACTGCCCGCCGGTCTCACGGCACGGGTAGGCGACCCCTTGCACTCTTCGGGAGCGGCCAAGACGGGGGTGTCCAAGAGGGGGGGTGCAAATCATGACCGGCGGCATGTGCGCGGCCCAGCGGGGGGGCCTGGGACGTAATGAAATAAGAAGAGGCGCAATGAAGTCTGGAGAAATATCATGGCCCGCGCCATGATATCCACCCCCCCTAGTCATCACCCCCCTCTTTTCCGCCCCCGACTCTTGGAGGGCCCTCCACCTCTCGCCCCCCCCCGGGCTGCCACGACGTGACACTGCCGATGTCCTGTGACCACCTGGACTGCTAGGGACCATCCGCCGCGGGAGATTTACGATAGATTACATCGAGGCAAACAAATCCGCCGACCGTCTCGGCGTGTGGAAGAGGCTGTTCCGTTTGACTCGTCGTCATCGTCGTCGTCGTCGTCGTCGTCGTCGCCGTCGCCGCTCGCTTCCCCCCTTTTCCCTAGGCCCGTCGCCGTTCCCCCCACTTTCACCAGGTTCTCCTCCTCGAGCGCGCCAGCCACAGCGAAATTGAGCAACGTTGTAGTTGAGTCGAAGGGAAGCCCCTTCCCTTTGATCCCTTCCCCACCGGGGAAGGGTCCCGGGGGTGAGGTACCGGGGGGGTCCCAGGGGGGTCCCAGGGGAGGGGTCCAGGGGGGGTCCCGGGGCAAATACGATTCCCCCTCGGGCGGCTGGGCGGCCAAGAAAAGCCGCAGGACGCGGCAAAACTGCCCCAAGATGCCCCCAAGACGGTCCTCGAGGGCCCCAAATCGCTGAAGTATCGGTCCAAGTCGCCAAAGTAGTCTCCAAGACGGCTCAAAAGGTTTCCAAAACGCCCCAAGAGGCCTCCAAGAGGACTTCCAAGAGGACTTCAAGAGGGTCCTAAGCGGGAAAAACATTGATTTCCCGACAAGACTTCGGCATTCTCGCCTTGCCAGACTCCCGACGCTCCAAGACAGACTAAGAAGCCCCCAAGACCGCCCCAAGATGATCCAAGAGTCCTCCAAGAGAGCCCCAAAACGACGCAAGATAGCCCCAAGACCGACCAAGAGGCCTCCAAGACAGCCGAAGAGGCCCCCAAGACGGCTCCAAGGAGAAGCCCAGACGGGGGACCCGCACGGGCATTTCGAGCTCTCGGCCTGAGAAGCTCTCAGGAGGCCCAGAGGACCCTCAGTAACCCCCCAAGAAGCCCCCAAGAATTTCCCAAGAGACCCCAGGAAACCCCAAGAGGCTTCCAAACGGCTCCCAAGAGCTTCCCAAGAGGCCCCCAAACTACTCCCAAGAGACCCCCGAGAGCGCTCGCCGTCGTCGTCGTCGTCGTCGTCGTCGTCGTCGTCGTCGTCGTCGTCGTCGCCATTCAGGGTCGGCGGCACCGGCCGTAAGGCCTTCGCAAAATTTTTGCTCGGGCATATGCGAGTAGGCACTTTGCGAGTAATGCAGCGCGCTCGGTGATGATATGCCTCCACCTTGCCTGGGCGGTCCTGACGCCCACCTTCGGCCTCACAAGCGTCGTCCTGAGGGAAACCCGGGCGTCCGGGTGCCGTGGCCTGGTGCTGACTGGAAGGGTTCACCCGCCCTATGGGGAACCGGGAACCCCCTTTGGCGGGCGTGGACGGGGTGGGGCGGGCCCCGAGCGGTCAGAGCGCCCGAGATGGCTCCAAGAAGGCCCCCGGCGCCTCGAGGCGGCCTTCAGAGTGGCTCAGGATGGCTTCCGACGCGTGTCCAAGAGGCTCCCAAGAGGGCCACGCGAAGGTTAAAAGCGCTCTCGGACCCCCCAGCACCGGCACACGAAGCCACAAGCGTGCAACAATACTGTTTTTCAGTGTTTTGTGGCGCTCGCGCCCTGTCGCTTCCGATAGGTCTCTGAGGCCTCACCATGGTCCCAGGATGGCCCAAAAGAGGCCCGAGAGGGGCCCCAAAGGGCACCAATACGGCCCCAAGAGCGCCCAAGATCGTTCCGAGAGGGCCCCGTGAGGCAATGTCGAGGCCCCGAAAATGACCCCAAAAGAGTTCCAAAAGGGCGCCAATAAGGCCACAAGAGCCCCAATAGAGCCCCAAGGCGACCCCAAGAAATCCAAAAGAGCCCCAAAGGGGCCCCAAACGAGCCCCAAAGAACCCCGAGATGGTCCAAAAAAGGCCCCGATATGGCTCCAAGAATCCTTTTAACGAAATCCACAACGAAAGATCCGCCATGGTACAGTCCTCTTTATTCTCTCCTCCTCCTCCTTTCCTTTCGTCCTTCCCTCCCTCTTCCTCCTCCTCCTCCTCCTCCTCCTCCTCCTCCTCCTCCTCCTCCCTCCTCCTACTGTTGCCTCCCCTTCCTCCTCGTCGTCGTCGTCCCTCTCATTCTCCTAGTTCTCTTCCTCGTCCTCCTTCTCCTCGCCCACGCAGGATCCATTGGTTGCCCGACGACGCCCTCTAGTGCCCCCTCCTCGTTTCCAGAGATCTCTCTCTCAGTTCGCCCTCGTTGTCCACTCTGTTCCACTGTATGTGTCTCTGCACCTCTTCTCCCGATAACTTTCATGGGCATCTATTCTGCTCGAGCTGGTGGGGGTACTTTTGATCGGCGGCTCCAAGGACGATTCCAGAGAGCGGGTCGAACAAGCTTGGGGCGGCGAGCAAGATAATTGCCAGCGGAAGCCAAAGGCCAACGCCGGAATGCACGTGCGAGGAACAAAATGAACCTAATTAGGAAGCAGACGCGAAGGCCGGCGGAAGGTCGCACAATGGCGCCAGCTTCCACGGCACGGGCCGGCGCTAAGGCAGAGACACTGCGGGCAGCACGGGGCCCCAGAAGGTGTACCGCCAAACGCGGACAGGCGAGGCAGAGGCAGGCAGGCGCAGGAAAAGGGGTGGGGGAGAGAGGGGCGGGAAAAGGGGGAGAGAGGGACAGGGGGGCAAAGGGAACCTCACTCACAGAGCACCTCATGTGCTCGAAGACAGGTCGTCACTGAAAAAGGCGTCAGTGGTCTTGTCGTGAGTCCCGGGTGGCAACTTCCTTGCGTCCGTGGACGGGGGGGACGTCGCGTGGGACCACGGCGGCACTACCCACCGGCGTTCAGAGGCCCCGCCTGGGGGAGACTGCGGGCAGGTGTGCACCACCTGAACTCCGCAGAAGGGCAGGGCGTCGTTGGCGTCCGCGAGCGACAAATCCTACCAGAGGAAGGGGCCGATGTCGCTGGCATAGCGGATGCCAGAGAACGCACTGGTGGGGATACGCGAAACGTCAATATTTGTTCTATCAATCGCCTGTTTTCTTCTGAGGACATTCCAATAAGGCTCCACAGCAACTCCCAGAGGCCGCCAGAAAACTCAAATATCGCCGATCGCCCAACATGTAATATGTTACAAATGTAGCCTCAAGACGCCACCATGGGCGTGTGGGAGGGGCTTCTCCGTTCGAGTCGTGTTTCCCCGTTTTCCACCGTTCCTGCGCCCTGCCCATCAAGCCTGCCAGCTCGAAAAAATCTGCCCAATTCGTTATATGGTCGAGGGTAAGAACCTTCCCTTTGATCCCCTCCCCGTCGGGGGGGGGTCGGGGGGAGTACGGGGGGTGTGGGAGGGGGGCAGATACGCATCCTCCCTGGGGGTCTGTGGGTCTCAAAACATACCCAAGCGGACCAAAAGCGGCACAAGAGGCTCCAGAGACGCCCGAAGAGAACCAGCTTTGGAACCTCCGACCTGAGGAGCCTCCCAGGAAGCTCCAAGCGGCCCCCAAGAGGCCCCTAGAGGCCACCAAGAGGCCCCAAGGAAGACCCACGAGGCTCCCAGGAAGCTCCCAAGAGGCCCCATGGAGGCTCCAGAAAACCTAAGAGGCCCCCAGGAGGCTCCCAAAAAGACCCCCCTCCCTCCTCCTCGTCCGCCTGTTCCATCTCCCCGTCCGCCCCGCATACAGTGTCGGCGGCACCAGCCGCAAGGCCTTCACCACATCGCCCAAAATGTATGGCGCCAAGGCAGCCTCAAGACGCCACCATCATCACTATCACCAAAGATGGGGCAAGGACGTACCCCATGTGGCCCCGAGAGTTTCCAAGACAGCACCCCGAGGCCCCAAGATGCCCCCCAAAGGCCCCTGGAGAGCCCAACAAACCTCCAGCAAACGCCTCAAACTTGTATCAGGAGATTCCAAACGCTGATTCCGCCTGAGGGGCCTGGCGGCACAGGGTGCAGCCTTTCAAATAGGACGTGAACGTCCCAACGCCACCAAACCCCCGGTCCCTCTCGCATCTCGAGCTCTTGGTCAACTATCTGGGCAAATGCTGAAACCGGTCTTTCTTAGCTGGCTCCTCTCTGTGCCTCCTCCTGGCACGCTCCGCCGCAAATTCGGCACGCTGGTCTCGCGACCCGCGCGCCCGTCGACTCTTGCTGCTATCGTCCAGGGTTCACCGTCCCGCAGGGGTCGTTGGCCATACAAGTGCTAGTCGCATGCTTGCGCCCCGTTTGCCCCTCGCACCTCTTGGACACGCAGCAACATGCGCAGAAAGATACCACGGTGAGACCCATGAGGATCCACGTGACGATGGACCATCCCTGCGAGGGGCGCCCATGAAAGAACTCACAAGAAAACGAAGAAGACAAGCATTCTGGGAAGTCATGAGAGAGGAAGACCAATCAGGAAAGGCATGCAATGTACATGCCACATGCGCGAGCGCAGAACCACTTCGTCTCGCTAGCCCTCAACCAGACGAGCTGCTTCAACGTTGCTGCACGGCTCGTCGGCTACATTGGCGAACCAGTTTCTGGCACCGAGTGGAACCCGCTCTTTATCACAGCGCGCGTACGTACGTCCACGCGCACGGCTCGCGCCCACACGCGTACCGTTCTGACAGCGCGGCTCGACGCCCGCGCGTACACGCACGCTTGTTCCTCCGACGCGACGGTGACAACAATCACCGATGACACGGCTGCGGGCCTCGTTCGCAACGAACTGGCCACCTCGTGTGGAGACGTGCGCTCGACTGACAATCCCGGGACGAACCACGCCAAGGCGAGGCCTGCAGACAGGCTGCGTGCAGGCAGCAAGGAGGTGGAGCGGAAGGGAAGCGAGAACCCGTGTGCCAACGGCGATCACCTTGCCGTCGCTCGGACGTCTATTTCCCGTTCATTTTTCTGTTCCGTGCGTGTTTTTTTTGCTCGATGGTCCAGGATGATCCTCGATGGCTCGCCGAGCGATGCCAAGACACGAGCGGCGGCAGCAAGAGGGAAGCGGGAACAGGGGGGGAGGGGGGCGGGAGCGGAAGCTGCCGAGAGCGGCGACCGAGGCAGGCCGAAACGCGGCCGTGGAACCGCAGGGTGGGCGCCGCACCAAAGCTGGAGGCGTCCCGGCCGCAAGGGCGCGCCAATGGTGAACGCGGGCCGAGCACGAGAGACGCGGGAGCACCGCGGGCGGCAAAGAGGGCTCCTCCTCCTCCTCCTCCGCCTCCTCCTCCTCCTCCTCCTCCTCCTCCGCCTCCTCCTCCTCCTGGAGGGGGAGGGAAGAGGTGCCGACGCTGCCGAGCAGCGCCCGAGCCAGGCCCGCAGGCCCGCCCCCCAGCAGGAGCCGCCAAAGCGGGATGAGCGCGAGCAAACACCGCCAGGCTGGCTGCGCGCGCACACGCACAGGCACACACTTCTTTTTGGCGTCGCGGTCATGCGTTCAGCGGCGCGGCGTAGAACACTCCACACACACAGACACACACACAGACACACACACACAGACACACCCTCCCCCACCTACTCACCCGCCCACACAATCCGAACAAGCACACACACATTTTTTGGCGTGGCGTCCATCCTCACACCTGGAACGAACTCTCACAAACATGCACACAGCCTAAGCTACAACATATTCGGATAGCGAAGGACGAGGGTGCATAGCAGTCGGAGTCGAGCTGAAACACACGAGAAAGAAGAAGTCTCGGCAAGACTGGATGACGACGGGGTAGAGAAATGTGAGAAGGAAATCTAGTGGGAAGGAGCGCAGAGCGACGTCGAACAATAGGCACGACCCTGCAATACGACTTCCATGAATTCGTGAGTAACTGGGTAAACATCCACTCCGCTACTGCTTAGACTGCAATTTCGGAGGACATCAACGTTGTACGCAGCCGTTCCCCCGTCCGGTGAGCCGACAAGATCCCCACCACGACTCCCCCCTCAGAAACGCGTGTGTGGCAGGAAGCAGCGCCTGCCCGCAAGGCTTCCCCACGACCCCTCCTGCTGTGCACCCGTCTCTGCCGAGCGGCGGCCCCTCGCCCCCCCCCGGGGACGCAGGAGCCCAGGAGCGCCTCCGCAGCCCGCCTTCCGCGGCAGGGCCCGCGGCCCTCCCGGTGGCCGGCTGGCCTCGGACGCGCGGACCTGGAGCCCAGGGACCTCCCGAGGCGGAAGCGAGCGCGTACGCCCACGGCCGGAACTGGGAGGATGGTGACGCTCACGCCATGGTGCGACTGGCTCAGGATTGCGCTCCGGGATTTCTGGCAGATCCCGCGGCCCGTCTCTGCGGCTCGCGTGGAGTATACGGGGATCCAGGGGATCTTGGAACATCCCATTCTCACGACTTCAGGAAAACAAAACCGACAGCCGACCGAACCGACCCAGCGCCTGGCGCCCGCCCCGAACCCTGCTGCTGCGGCAGGGCGGGGCGAGAGCACCGGGCGCAAGCGAAGGCAAGGCCGGCAACCGACCGCGCTGCGCGGGATCTCCTGGGAGCTCACGAAGGTGGCGACGGCTGCGCAGTTGGTGACGAACCAACAATACACACCCATACCCACAGGGGGGTCGGAGAGGGCTATGGGTGCGTGTTGTCGAATGGGGGCCCCGCTCGAACGGGAGCGTTCCCCAGGGTCCGACAACCCGCACCCATACCCATAGCCAGTCCTCTTCCCAACGACCCCCCTATGGGTATGGGTGTGTGTTGTTCGTTCGTGACTTGGGAGCTCAGGGAGGCGGAGCTCTGGTGTGGCGAAGAGGGCCCGGGGAGGCGAGGGAGGGAGCACCCAGGGAGGAGTACGGCGTCATTCCGCTGGACCTCCCAGGAGCTCACGGCTGCGGCGGCCGCTGCGCCGCTGGGCACCGTGTGGTCCGCGGGATCGCTTGGCGCTGAGCCTCGCAGAATCTTACAAAATCCGAGTAAGGGGGCCGAACGGTCATTCACTGTCCCCGGGTTGGCTGAAGTAGGACTCCGCGATGCGGATTATTGTTGTTGTCGTCGTCGTCGTCGTCGTCGTTGTTGTTGTTGTTGTTGTTGTCGTTGTTGTCGTTGAATTCGCACTTCTGAAGAATAATTAGTGTTGATCCCCCCACGCTGGTGCATACTGTGTTTTCTCGATCAAAACGTGCCCCTCGACGCTCGCACCCTGTTTTTTGACAGGCGAAGTCTTCCTGCTCAAACTGGTCCCCTGGCCCCCAGATTACAACAACTACGGCTCCCGCCTGATACTTCCTTGCAATTTAGCCCCCGCTCCCGCCCGAGACATCCTCGCATTTTATCCAGAAATCGCGCTCTCGCTTGGGACTTCCTTACAATTTATTCAGGAATCGCTATCCCGGCGCTCTGGAGTCGCGCTCTCTTTGGAGACTTGCTTGCAACTTACTGAAGAATGGCCTTGCGTTGGAATGTCGTGCAATTAGCCCAAGCGCCGCGCTCCCGACACCCAGGCACCCAGGAGTCGCGCCCGTTGTGGCCCCATGTGCACGCCCTTCGTGGCCCCGCTGTCGCAATTTGTCCCCCTTACTGTCCTACATGGCCCACTTGCTACCCTCAGTGGCCCCATGGTTGCCTTCTGTGGCCCCGCATTATCTGCACTTCGTGGCCCCCGCTCGTTCGCGCTCCTCGTGGCCCCATACGCATTCCCTTCGTGTCCCCGCTGTCGCCCTTCGTGGCCTACTTCGCGCCCCTCGTGGCCCTGCTGTCGTTCTCTCTCGCTCTCGCTTTCGCTCGTCGTCGCCGTCGTCGTCGTCGCCGTCGTCTTCGACGTCGTCGTCGTCGTCGTCGTCGTCGTCGTCGTCGTCGTCGTCGTCGTCGTTGTCGTGATCGGTCCCCTGTCCGTCCCTCTTGGGGTCGGGTCGACGGTCCGCGGCCGCCCCGCCGAAAAGCGCTGCCGCTGGCCAGGCCGACGGTCCGCGGCCGCCCCGCCGCTTGCCGGGGCCCGGCCTGCAGGGAAGAAAGGTATACCCCCAAAAAGGGTTCGATCGAAGACGAAGAGGGCGGGTATCGAGGGTTTGGGAAATACGCGTTATTGGACACTCGAGCATATAAGGGCGAACAATATTAAAATTATCGTTGTTGTTGTAGTTGTAGTTGTAGTTGTAGTGGTAGTTGTAGTTGTTGTTGTTATTGTTATTGTTGTTGTTGTTGCTGTTGTTGTTGTTTGGCGTCGTCACCCGCACAACCAGGCCCGCGACACACCCTGCGACCCGCCCGCGACACACCCGCGACCCACCGGCGACCCACCCCGCGACCCACCCGCGACCCACCCCCGACCCACCCCGCGACCCACCCACATTGCTTTAACGAAGAATCGGCGCCTGCGGCGGGCTTGTTGCATGTTTCAAAATGGTTTGTTGAAGAGGGGCGCCCGCGGCGGGCGTTTTCAGAACCTCGCAGACTGCAAGCGTTCCCGCCGCCCTCTCACTCTTATCCGCAATTGCGGGGTGCTGCGTACTTCTCTGGCCACCTCGTCCATGAAGATGGTTTTGGTACCCTACAGCGAGATTGGCAATCCCCCTCCCTGACCGAACTACTCTGGTCATGGTAATGATAAAATCTAAGATTTAGAAAAACGGCACCGGATTTCGAAAATCCGTCTTTGAATTTAGTAAACCAATTTTTTGTATTTTCTAAATGAAATATTGTATTGTTTTGATCCGGCGGCGCAATTTAATACATCCGCTTCTCGCTTTCGTGAAGCATCGCTTTTTGAATCATCTGTTTCAAGAATGCGCGCTCACTCATTACCATGACTTTATGTTCGCCGGTGACTCCCTCACCGTTCTACTTCTTCCTCACGCCGTCCTCCTCCCTCCGCCCTAAAACAGGGCTAGGATCGGGATAAATCGCTCCAAAGCGTTCCGGAGCGCTCTCAGAGCGTTCCGGAACGCTCTGAGGCGGCCGCGGCGTCCAATACATCCTCCAAACCCAACGATTCTCATAGATTTCGAGTTATCCCGATCCGATGTTGTCCCGATCTTCGCGTCTTTTTACGCCCTCCTCCGCCCCTGCCGCTCGCAACCTGAGCCTCCCACCGCGGACGGGCGTCGCCACCGCCCGCGCCGATCCGGGCCGTGCCCGCCAGGGAGCGGAGGATCGGGTGCGCGCTGCCGCCCTCCTGTCCTGGCCGGGTGCACCGCTCCTGGGCACGAGGCCGGACGGGCCCGTCCGACACAGGTAGGAGGAGGAGGAGGAGGAGGAGGAGGAGGAGGAGGAGGAGGAGGAGGAGCAGGAGGTGGAGGAGCAGGAGGTGGAGGAGGAGGTCCTGAGGGCCCTGATGGCGCGGGGTGGGTCTTTTCCCCCCCCTGGCACACTGGCCAAACGCAAGAGGCTAGCCGATGCTATCCTCCTCATCCCAATCAGCAGCATCGACCTCCCGACGGCGTTGGTCGCTCTCGCAAGCAACAAGCGCCTGCCTGGGGTGTAGCGAAACCGTGCAATGTTGCAACAATAAGTTGGGATGACAAGCTGGGAAGCGCATCGATCGCAGAAGACGGAGGCACCTCCGCGGCCGCAGCACGAGACTCTACAGCAACGCTGTTCAGACCTACATCCCCACCGGCACCACCCCCAGAAGGCTCACAGCCAAGCAAAGGACCCTAAACAGCCTTCGTCTCATCGGACGGCCCAAACGGATTGCCCACAGTGGCCTTCCCCAGGTTATGACCTGGGAACAATCCCCGCCTTAAACGAGACCTCTGGGTCTTATACCCAGCGTGGGATGATCCTTTGCAATGAGTTTGAAGGTCCCCCCGCGCACTCTCATGCGCCGAGGCCCCGCAACACTTACAACAAATGATAGCATCGAGAGCTTCACCATCTTCAGCCTGGACGATGGAGTGGTCTCGAAGCACCCAGGGGACCCCAGCAACCTGGAGGAAGTCCCCGGGGGCAGGATGAGGCGGAGGCGGGGGAGGCACGGAAGGAGCGGCGGGGACCCCCCACGGCCCTCGGACCCCTTGCAGACGGCACAACCCCTTCCTTCCGGCAAGCACCGAAGAGCGCCTGCGAAAACTCATCCTCGAACTCAGCGTCTCCAGTCCCAGCAGCTCCGTGAGAGTCTGGCTGCTCCAGGGGACCGAGGGCGGCCTGCGCTCTGCCGTGCCAGGCAGTGCCATCCAGCTCCCTTGCAACCTCATACGGACAGAGGCCACTGCTCAGGGATCCCCCCCGAGCTTGGTCCCCTTCTTGGCATGCTCGTCTGCTGCACGGCTGCCACGGGCAATCCAGACATCATGGTCTGTGTGGGCAGCTGGCTCTGAGGTGCGCGCCTCGACTTTACAGACAGAGGCTAGCCTGCCTATGCCAGCCCACCAATCGACCCAAAGGTGCCTCCTAGGGTTGTCCCATGACAAGGCCTCGCCGGCATGTTTTGCACAGGCGACGGTGCCAGGGCAGTCACAGAAGACCTCAGGCGGCGATTCAACGCACCACTCTGAGAACTTCCTGCGCATACCAAATGCATAGTCCTCTTCATCGCGAGCGACCTGCGAAGATGCAAAAGAAAGAGGTACAATACCATACATGGCGGCAGTAAGCTGGCCTGCCCTGCTCTATCGACTTGCACGACGGCCCAGCCAGCTCGCGAAAGACCCTCGTGGGCTGTATAAAAAAAACGCTCCTATGAACGAACACCAGACCAGAGAAACGCCACCCAGGGAACACCCGAACAAACCTCAACCAATTTTCTTCAGGAACTTCGCTTCTGGCGAAAACGGGGCGCGGCGAAAACCACAAACAACGGGCAAACAACTTACCGTAATTCTCATTTAGCCCCTTCACACAATGAGCCTCTTGCTTAACATGGGCCGGGCACGATTCCCGCCTGACGGTGAAGAGCACAGGGCAACCATAGAACCGACGGAAGAGAGTGCCTCGAGCACCACGGTGCGCACAACGATCGTGGCAGGAATTCCCTTGAAAATGGAGCCTGGCCTGAGACCAGTGGCTGCCGCCGACAAGAGAACGGATGGCAGCGCACATCTGCGCTGTCCAACCCTCCGTGCATTCCCAGGCCAGCACCAGAGGAGACTGGCACCCAGTGGAGAGGGGCGATCCACGCGCTCTCCATCCGACGAAGGGCCGCCACATCCGACAAAACCCGGGCAGATTCTCTAGCAGGATTCATGGCGAACAATTTAAGATTCAGGTCCCCATGACACGGGTCACGATAGACAGCGGCACTAGGCAGAGTGGCTCCAATCCTGGCAAGAGACAGCAGGGCGGCCTGAACAGGGCCAACATCTTGAGCCCATGGCCGAGGCTCCATCAGGCTGCTCTGAGCAGACGCCAGGCAGGCCTCAAGAGGCGAGGAGATGACAGAGAGCGCCCAGTGCTTGGCAACCTCCACCGCGTGAACGGCCCCAGGGTCACGGCAAGCACCCCGAGGAGCCGCTCTCCATCTGAGAGCCACAAGAAGGTCCCCGGGGGCACCCGCCCCTCTCCGCTCGGAGGGTGGAGACGCGCAGAGAGTGGAGCTCATGCTCCGAGAGACCAGTGACAGCAGATCCCCACACCGCCGTCGCCGCAGGAGACCCCCTCGTAATGGTGCTGACACTGGCTCCCGCTTGCCTGAGCTGAACCACGCGGCCCGCGACCCTTTTGGCCTTGGCCAAACGCTTGTTTCGTTCCTGGACCGACCGTGGCGCACCACTATTGGCGCCAGTCCCCAGACAACGTCCATAAGACAACCTGGAGTCCGAGGCAAGGTCCCACTTGGCACCCAGATCGGCATCAAGGTCAGGGGCGCTAGTCGTCTAACCAATTTTGTCCCAGCTGACCCTAAGGAGCTTAGCCTCCAGGCCCGAGACTAAATTCATCATCGCAGAAGGGAATTGCTCTAGGATCTGGGTCCGGCGGAAGAGGAGGAGGAGAAGGAGGAGGAGGAAAGAACGCCCTTGGGGAGTCCTAGATCCAGGCCGCACCGCTACGACCGCGTGAGTAGCTCCCGCGCTCTGGCGGAGCTCTTGGCGATAGCCCTGCACCTGGCCTCCATAAGAGGGGACACGAGGGTTTCCGAGCACCTGCCCAGCAGTACCTGTACACATAAGCTCAGGAAGGCGGGAGAAACATATATTATGGAGGTGGAGGAGGAGGAGGAGGAGGAGGAGGAGGAGGAGGAGGAGGAGGAGGAGGGAGGATGGGGTGCGTTCGCGGGCATCTTCGAGGCGGAGCGGCAGCGGGCACCATCTGCATCGTGAAGTTCCACGTGAAGTACCTCATGAAGAGGGTGCACCTGCCCAGCCACGGGTGGCAGTGAGCAACTCGGTGGGTGCGTCCCTTGAGCAGGGACCGACCGTCCCGGCATTCCTATAGTCCTACCGCGAAATTTTCTTAGAACCCAAGATTGTTCCAACAACAAAAACAATGCTCTTAGAACATAAACCCGACGCGTCAAAACAAGACAATATCAACCAGACATGTCCTAAAACATTTAGTGGAAACCACAAAAGGTTCTTAGAACATTGTTTGGTAGGGCTATAGGCGAGCCAAGACGCTTCGCCACTGCTTCAATCCCAGGTCCCGCGACGCAAATTTCCTGCCAGAGATCCCTTACAAAATGCTTTGTCCGCAACTCCCCCCAAAGAAACAACAAACTTCGAACATAGCGTTACCGTGGGCTGCCAAAGGCATTCCGGCATTCCTGGCCCAATCTGTCCCCGGCTGTTCGCGCCATGTTGGTGGAGCCCCTGGGGCCCTTTAGGCCTCGGGAAGGGTGCTCTGGAGGCCATTGGGGCCACCTAGGGACAGGGATTACTTTGGACAGGGATTACTTTGGCCACGCCCGATGTGTTTATTTTCGGGCGTGACCCGAGTTTGTTTGTCGCCAGCAACACTGGCTGCTGACTGACTGACTGACTGGCTGACTGACTGACTGATTGACTGACTGACTGACTGACTGGTCTTTCTGTTATCAGACCGTTGTTTTTTTTGGCCGCCAAGTGCGCAACATCTGAAGCCGCCAAAAAGAAGACGATTCATTATTGTCGTAGCCTGGTTGTGTGTTTGTCGCTAGTTTGACCGGGCTGACTGACAAACAGGTCGGGACCGCAGGCCGCTGTATTCCCAGCCGCCGGGTTCGCTTTATATGGCGCGGCAAATAGCAAGCCGCTGTGTGTCGGGCCGCCGAGTGCGCATCTATGGCGCCACCAATCGCAGGCCGGTCTGTGTTGGGTCGCCCAGGGCGCAACCTGTGTACGGGCCACCAATTGCAGGCCGTTCTGTTCCCGGCCGCCGGGTGCGGAATCCATGGCGCAACCACTGCAAGCCAGACTGATCATCGGCCACCGAGTGCGCCACCCGTGGCGCCAGCAGCAGCAGGCCACTCGTGGTATCATCGGCCGCTGAGGGCGCCACCTCTGGCGCAACCGGTAGAGGGTGCTTTGGTTCTCGGCCGCCAAGAGCGTAACCTAAGGCGCCAGCACTAGCAAGCAACTGGTAATCGGCCGCCAATGGCGCAAACTCTGGCGCAACCGCTAGAAGACCTGAGTATGTTCGGCTCAGTGTGCGCAATCTATGGCGCACCCCGCGGATGGCGCAACCTACGGCGCACCCAGAGGCGCGACGGCGCGACCCATGGATCGCACAACCCATGGAGCAACTCATGGCAAAATACCGAGTGCGCAACCCATGGCACAAACCATGGATGGCGCAACCTGTGGCGCAACCCATGGATGGCAAACCCATTGCGCAACCCACGGATGGCGCAACCTATGGCGCAACTGCGCAACCCATGAATCGCACAACCCGTGGAACAACCCATGGCGGAATCCATGGATCGCGCAACCAATAAAGCAACCCATGGTACAATCCGTGAATGTTGCAAGCTATGGCGTAAACCATGGATGGCGACACCTACACATGGTACAACCTATGGCGCAACCCAAGGGTCCCACAACCCAAGGCACGCCACATGAAAGGCACACACCCCTGGCAAATTCTACGTGACTACGCTACGCCCGATCCATGCTTGTCGTGTGGGCTACTGGCGGCGGTGGGGCCCAAGCAGCGAGCTGCCTTGCGATTTTTGGGCACCGAGTGCGCAACAAATGGCACAACCAATAGCAGGTCGTTCTGTTTCAGGCCGCCGAGTGCGCAACCTATGGCGCACCACATCGCAGGCCGATCTCATTTTTGGTCGCCGAGTGCACAACCTGTGGCGCAACCAATAGCAAGCTGTTGTATATTGGGCCGCCGCGTGCGAAACCTGTCGTGACCAGTATACATCGTCGTGTGGTGAGCCGCCGAGAGCACAACCTATGTCGCCACCAGTAGCAGGCCATGATGTGTGAGGTCGCCGGATGCGTAACCTACGGCGCAACCATTGGGCCTAACCTCGCGCATGGCGCAACACATGGCGAAACCTACGGCACAACCCATGGATGGCGACCCCTCCACCATGGATGGCGCAATCCACGCAACCCATGGGTGGCGCAACCCATAGATGGCGCAACCCATGGATGGAGTAACCTATGGAAGGCACAACAACCCACAGATGGCGTACTCCATGGATGGTGCCACATATGGCACAACCCATGGCGCAACCCATGGATGGCGCAGCCTGTGGGGGAAACCATTGCTGGCGCAACCGACGGCGCACCCCACGAGTCGCGCACCCCCTGGCAGTTCCTACCCAGCGGAGCCCGCTGTCTGCTCGCCCCTCAGGCTGGCGGTGAGGCCCAAGCGGTGAGCTCTCTGATGATCGTCATCGCACGTGCCCCCTTCCCTCGCCATCGCTCGGACGTCTTACCTGTGTTTTTTTCGGTTTCGTGCGTGGTTTTTTCGCCAAATGATCAAGGATGCTCCTCGATGGTCCCCACCGAGGAAAAAATGCACACGTCCGAGCGATGCCAAGTTCCGAGGACGCCTGGGCTCTCAGAGGCGACCGCTTGACCGCGGACCTCTCCCCGCAGGCTTCCCGGCGCTCCTCCCGCGCCGCAAAAGCCCTGCGGCGCTCGCCCTGCGCCTCTCCCCTCTCCCGCGACGCCTCCGCCCTGCGCCTCCCTCTCTCTCTCTCCTCTCCGCCAGTGCGCCTCCCTCCCCGGCGGTGCCCACCCGCACCAGCCCTTCAGCAGTGCCCAGGATCGAATCGAGGAGTCGGGCCAGCGATCGAACCGAATCGGATCGGCGAACAGCGGCAGCTGAGTCGGGAGAAATCGAATCAGCGGAGATCGGCAGGCTAGTACGGCCTTCATGGAAATGCCGAAATCCAAATCGAAATCCGAAGTCGAATCGAATCGGAATCGGAATAGGTCGAAATCGAATCGAATCGAGTCGGAATAGAAATGAGCCCCGCCCCCTCGTACCTTTGGATTTTAGACCACAATCGGCACCACATGGCCCCTGAACAATACTGCGTTCTTGCCGCGCCAGGGCGGTGCTGCGACACAAGTGCGTGGTGGTTGCGCACGCGTGTGCACCTGCCACCGTGCCGCGAGTCAGCGTAGAATGTCTTCAAAACCCTTCGGATTCCTAATCTTGAACACCGTCTTCGCAGAAGTAAGGGCGTCAAACCTTAAGTCCCAAATCCCACAACTCAAGTCTTCAAAGGCCCCAAACCTCACACTCACGGAATTTCCAGACGACTCCTGGCTGTTCTTGGGGCTCCCTGTATGACTTTCCCCGAGGCCCTGGGAGCGTGCTTGGGGGTCGCCACTTCCCACGCATCTTAAGATGGCTCGAAAGGACGACCATGGGGCTCTCTTGGGACTGTCGAGCAGTCTTGCATGGCCTGCGGGCCAGCGCCATAACCAAAACAATTGACAGACCATTGTTTTTGTTGTGTGGTCGTAATCTCGGCTTCCTGGTCCCAAGAGCCTCCAATGCGGCTCAAACGGCTCCCACGATCCGCCCAGGAAGGGGAGCTAGAGCTGCCAGTTGGAGCCCTCCACCCCAAGATAATCCAGGATGGTCCCCGAGACCGCCATCAGGTCCATGA